TGTTGTAAAAATAATAATATTTATTGTATCACATATACAATTACAATCCTGTATGAAAAGTCAAATATGATACATTTATAGGGAGTACAATCGCATACTTCATCTTGGGAGCAGGGAGTGAATTTACATTTATTTTTATTGTCCAGAAGCAAAACAAGGGGCCATCTCAGCATTTGGTCAATGGACCAGGGAAACTGGATAAAAAACCTGATCAAGATGGGGTCATTGGCACTAGAGATTATACTACAATACTTGTAACAGATATATTAAGATATTACAAAGTAGATAATTATTTTTAGTAGCAAATAATTAAACATTTGACTTACTTTAATTTAATTTAAAATTTTTGAACATTTCAAGATTTATACCATTTCATTTTTCAAAATATAATTTTCTTGTATAGTGATTTTACTGCTACTACTTAATAATAATAATAATAATAATAATAATAATAATAATAATAATAAAAATAAAAATAATAATAATAAAAATAATAATAATAAAAATAAAATAGGTAACATTATTAAAATAATAATAATAATAATAATAAAAAATAAATATAAAAATAATAATAATAACAATAATAATACTAACAGTACATGATAACAATTATGGTACCAGCAACATATGATTTAACAGTATTAGCATCTTCCTTGATTAAATCTTGAAATGGGGAGGAGGCAGGTTATGGCCAGATTTTTCCTATTTCTACACCTAGTCCTATTGCAGCACCAGAAATCACATTGCACGTGTTAGTCACTGAGGTATTCCTGAATGCTATAAAAAAGTTTTTCCCCAAGGAAGAGTTTTTTCTTGACGCTTGTGGTGTTTCTCAGATGTATTGGTAATTTGTTGAAGAATTGTATACCTGAAGAGAACGTACTTTTTCGATATAATATGTTTGTACACATTGGTTGATGAAGGTTACATGCTTGCCTTGTGTTATAGGGATGTGAGTTTGAGTTAAATTTGTAAAAATGAGTCATTGTTTACTAGAGTTTTTTTTACGAACATAACTTCATTTATAAAAATACAAGGCAGTGGAAGTATGTTAAGTTTTTTGAAATAAGGTCAGCAGGACTCTGTTCTTTTTGTATTTGTTATTGTGCAAATGATTCTCTTTTGTATTTTGAATGTTTGTTTGGTTACCCTCTGGTGCATGGCCCCATATTATTATTCCGTATATAGTATATATATTCCGAGAATAGAGTGCACATTTGCAAATTACACTGTTTGTGCTGTCTCAATGGTGCTGTTTCTTATTATTAGTCTAACAGCATAATTAAGTTCGCTCAATTTTGAATTTATATCTTCTAGGTGTGAGTTCCATTTGAGGTTGGATTGTATGGTGATTCTGAGAAATTTTGTTTTCTGTACTTGTGTGATGCTGTTTCCTTCTAATGTTAAATTTGGCGAGTATTGTTGTATTGAGTGGAAGTTGTGGAAGGGTATTGTGATTGTTTTGTCTCGGTTTAGGATTAGTTTGTTAGGGTGGATCCATTGTATTAGCTTGTCAATGGCTGAATTGGCTTTGTCTTGCACAGCTTTGGTTGTTCTTTCTTTGAATATTATATTAATGTCATCAGCAAAAAGTACGGTTTTGTTGTTTTCGATTATTGATGGCAGGCCATTTACAAATATAAGAAATAAAATGAAGCCTAGTGTGGATCCATATGTCGCATCCCTTGGCTTGGAGTGGTGCTTATTTATTTTCTTGTCTTTTTGTACTACAATTTGTTTTCTGTCTGATTTTATCCAATTGTAAGCAATTCCTCATATTCCATAAGATACTAAATTTGACAATAGAATTGTGTGATCTATTGTGTCATAGGCTTTTGACAGGTCGAGAAAGAGACCAACAGGAATTTCTTTTTGATCTAATGCCATGAGGATTTCATTTACAAATGTGAATAGAGCAGTTTCAGTTGAACAATTTTCCCTGAATCCTTATATATTTATCCAGAAACTAAGATTGTTGGTTTCTAAAAGAATTACTGTAATAATTTTAAATGAATTCAGTAATTCCAAAGAGACTATAATGAAAATAATTAATATGGACATAAGAAATCTAAAATGAAGGCTAGGATGAAATTAAATGTTGAGAACTAAAGCCAAAACTTATAGCAGAATTTTAATGTTTAATGCTTGATTAATATTTGTACATGCATGAAACTAATTTGTGAAAAATATAATGTATATCTAGTTTGCATAACATATCTAGACAATTAGTATCCGTTTTGGTTAAAAAAGATTGTAAAGAAAATAATAAACTACTGAAGAGACAAAAGTTAAATGTAGAAACATGGTTGGAACAAATATTTTGCTAATAACAATGGCAGTGGTATAAAATTTACATAACACCTTTTTGGTGAGAATTACATTCTCATTGAATATCAAAGTTTGGCCGAGAAAGCCATAAATTTTTAAAAAACAACTGACAAATTTATTTCACTAACAAAACAATTGCAAGCAGAATGTGCTCTTGAATTCCAATAGACGTTGTTATCAGCAAGAGCAAAAATAATTTTGAAGTTAATTCAATAAGTTAGAAATGCTTGATTAGTATTTTTACATGCATGAAACTAATATGTGAAAAATATAATGTATATCTAGTTCAGTTGAGAAATTAATACTTTAAAAATGTTTGGACTCAAATGAAAATTATCACTCTGTATATTATAGTAATATAATTATATCTTCTTTGTTTTCATCTGTGATTATAATATTAAATTCCAATTTGATTTCACATTGTTTCTTCAAATATGGTGTTGCTATAAATATAAAATTCTATTGCAGATGATTTCAGTGAGCGGATAAAACTAATTCAACACTTTACCAATCCCACAATGTTTTAGAGCATCACACTTGCATCAAAGTTTATGAGATTGCTGATGAAAGTTATTAGACCATTGCCTTAGAGCTACATAAATTGGTGGTCAGGAGTGGAGAAACAGCAATATTGGCAGCACTATAATGCAAATGATTTGATGCTTTGATGATCACATAATTTCATAGTAAACAGTTACACAATATTATAATATTGCAACTTCTATCCTATGAACACTTCATCTTATCTCAACCCAGCTCGAGATATTTGAAAATAATTTAAAGAAAAAAAAAAATTACAAAGCTTGGATTTGATCCAATGTGCTAAGATTAACAAGTTCATCTACCTGATGACATTACTAGTGTCACAAGGACTAGCTCTATAATACTAAAATAAATTATTGCTGGCTGAACTCCTGCAAAAAATCTGCACAATGTAAATAATCATTGTTTGAAAACTAAAATCTCTTCATAACCCAACTTTTAATGGCCAAGTCTTAAACTGTGCATTGCAGCATTATAGGCCTAGTATTCTAGCCTATATACTCTCTGGGCCTAGTACTGTGCAAGAGAAACCATTCTAATACTTCTAAGCATTGAGATGAAGGTGCACAGAAAATCATATAGTTCCATTTTTTGTTGTGAAAGATTTTTTCAGTTCATTTCACATAGATTTTGGGTGTACACTTTTCTGACCATCCATGCTGCGAAATAGGGAGCATCTGAAAGAACTGTACCTATCCTTAAAAAAAAGTTGAAAAAAATCTTATTTCACTTGAGAAACACAATTTGAATTCCCTGATCCCCTTTTATTTCTCCACGCCCACTATCTATCCTCCTGTCTTTCGCCATTTGCTGCCTATCTCCCTAAAACTCTTGTACCTTCCAAGGTCGCAAAAACCATGGTTTTAAGAGCTTAGGATGCTTTGTTTTAGAGTTGTGTGTGATTATACTGTAATAATCTGTTGTGTATGTCGTAATCTGCAAATTCTGCATCTTCGTCTTAAGTCTTTTTTATGCGGGACCAAGGTGTAATTCTCTATCCAGCAGTAGCGTCCTTACAGGGTTTTGTGTCAATGGATTCTTATAGATTGCTAAAAACTGTAATCGATTGTTAGTGTGTCATGCATACACTGTTGTGGTGATTCTAAACATTATTACTCAAAATTACATTTTAAAAAAATGAAAAAGTGAAGATAAATGATTTTAAGATCTAATATTGAGAAATACATTTCATTAAGAAAGAAATCTTTAAGCTTCAATACTGAAGGTGTTGAAGTTTAAAACAAAATTGAACTTTCTAATTTTCGAAATTCCCAACATTTTAATGACAATTAGATCTACCCCATATTATTAAGCGAACATTGCTCTATTTGAGCAAAAAATTTAAAGAACAAATTTGGGGAGTCTTTATTTTGTTTTTTTCTCTCACAACTTCACTCAAAATCACAAGAAAGCTATTCACATTTTAAAAATTTATCCTTCACATTATTTAAAGTTTTCATTTTGAAGAACATTAATAGAAAAATCTCTACCTTCAATATCGTCATCATAGGAGGTCAAAAATCTTTTAGACGTTAACAATTTTTGAAATTACAGTGGTTTCAATGAAAATTAAACTAGTGCATTTTTTATTGCCATTTATGTGAGAAAGTAATAGGAGTGCTAGGAATAAGGTGGTGCATTTTCAGACAGACTTAGTTACTAGGACTCTCTAGTTACTAGCTTGTTACTGATTCTTGAACCTTTAAAGCCGGTTGAAGACTTTCTTGAAACTGGTACATTGGAGGGTTAGTTTGCAAGTATGTAAATGAAGGCAAGTCAAGGAAGAATCATGAATGGATTGTCGACTTGGGTGCTGTTCTGGAATTCTCCTGAAATCTATTGTAGGAAGTCAAAACTCCTAATCAGAGCATGTAGCATCTAGGATTCTCATCCAGGCAAGAGCAGGTTTCAAAGTATTAAGCAAGTGTTGAAAATCTGCCAACTAATGGGCCTCAAATCTAGGACCTTCTGTTCAACCAAGCATCAGCCAAAGATTTGAAACTCCTCATGCTATTAGTATAAATAAATAAACAAAATAAAATTCACTTTAAAACTGAAAGGGCCCATCTTCAAGGTCTAAGGCTTGAATAATCTTTAAAATGGTGCTAATTATTCAGGGTAATAAAAAATTATTTCAAGGCTTTAAAACATTTTTATTAACTTTAGTGTGTAATCTTTTGGATTCCACATTAATTACATGTAAATTCATATAGCTGTCTGTTAATACTGAATGTATGGTACAATTACAAGATAACTAATATCTCAAGTCGACTAAGAAAATGGTACGGAATGTAACATAAAAAAATATTATGGCCACATGAGATATTCACAAAAAAAGAGTTAATTTACAATAGATAATTTTCTGCACTTATTAGTTTAAGTTTTGAAGACTTTCATTTCCTGCATATTTAAGTCATAGATTTTACCTCTTTCTTTCAAATATTTTGGGAAATTCTCATCTTTCTTATGAGTAAGGAAAGAATATTTACAAGAAGAATTTTCACTATCATTCTTCTTTTCAATACTTTGAGTTTTGAACTTGTAGGATTTTCCCGAGAAAGCAAATTTGTAATGTTTTTTGTCAGATATTCGCTTGTCCTTTGAATAAAACTTACAATGTCCTTCGACACTAGAACATTTTTTAAGGTCTGTAATCGGGTTCCTATTGGAATTTTTAGTGCTTGGCAATTTCTCATATTTGTGAAAAGACTTTTTTGAGGAACCAAATCTGGAATATGCAACACGTTTTCCGTTTTCTGTCAATTTCTTGTAACTCTTGTGAAATTTACGTTGTCTCTGGTCATTGGAATATGATATCAGATTGTCAGCAATCTTTCTATTCATCTTCTCTGAATTTGAAAATTTACCCTTATATTTCATTTTATTTTTTCCCCAGTTAATGTGTTGTTTACCCTTGCTTTTAATATTCTCGTTTCTTTCATAATTGTTTAATTGTTTAATATATTTTGTGATTGGCTTAGACAGCTGTTTTTTCTGGCCATGTAAATGATTGTAATGTATTTCTGATTGATCATGCTTCTTTTGTTTCTGGTCTATATTTTGATCCTTTTTAATGTATCTGAATTTATTCTTCTTTTCCTTACTATCCGCTTTCTTCCAGTTCTCTGCTTTATCTTTCTTTTTCATTCTTTTAGAGACTGATTCAGAATAGTTAAGTACTTTGGTACCAAGTTTCCCATTCTCTCCTTTACCATTTTTCTTTTCATTAGTATATTTTGCCTTCTCAACCTTCCTGTACTTTTTCTGTTCAAAAGAAAATTGTTGTACTTCTGATTTCTTGTCTTTCTTTGCATATACTTTCTGTTTCCCCAACATAATTTTATTTCCTTGTTTCTTTTTACTTCTTTGCAGAAGAGAACAAAGTAACTGAGCTTTTGTTAATGCATAACACTTTTTCTCTTTCTTTTGTGATTTTTCATGTAACACACACTGGTTTATCTGGTTTAATCTGCAAAAATCATTGGATGAGTTTGGAATCCTACATCTAACATTCTCATTGAGTACTTTATAAGGACTTCCACTTACAGCATGCACAACCTTATGTGCTACGTCCGAAAGATGTTCAGTGTCCCGCAAACCTGCAAGACCTTCTGTTTTAGAATCAGAAGCTGGTAATTTCAAGTTTCCATGAAACTTGTTCCACTTCTTGAGAAGAGAATGCAAATATGTTAGATGAGTGTTCAATTTAGAGAACTGAAAGTGTGATGTATTTGAATGCATTTGATTTTTAATCACCTCTAACTTTGGAAGCAACTCTACATCAGACAATGCATTATCACTATTTTTTGTGATAATATAAGATCTATTTATTGTAAATTCATCCTCAAATGGATAATCCATAACTTGTTCACCATCACTAATACAAGAAATCCAATGCACAAACTGAGGCAAAGTATCATTCACAAAATTGTGATTACGGAAGTTTGCAAATAGGGGATTTTCTTCAGCATAGCAAACATCTTCATCACGACCATGCATTAAATTGGCATACATATCCTGAAAATGATTACTTCTACAGTAACTACCAGGTAATTCAGACTCATTTAACTTTACTACTAGTTGCCTTACTCTTCTCAGTAAATCACTTTCACAGTGTTTATTTTTCATGGTAACATCTGCCAGTTCCTGTTCCAATATTTGATTTTCATACTTCAAGTGATGTATCATGTCTTTTGCTCTTGCAAATCTTTTTGACCCTGAAAAAGTAAAACCTCTGAGAAATATGTAAAAAAGTAAAATAATCTAATTGAAGTAATTTTCAATAGTACTCATCCAAGTTTCGCTCAAAGTTTCAAGAGGATTTTTAAAGCATAGTAACAGAAAGCAACTTGCATATTATTGGTTCATCTAAGTAATAAGTTTTTGTATACATTTATACAACTACAATGGTTCAAGATTCTTTATTAAACTAAATTCCCACGATCTTAAATTTTTTGGCATACTTCAATATTTTAAATCAATGTGGTAGACCCCCAATTAGAAATCTGTGTAATATGGTAAGGAAATGTCTTTTTGCATAACCTCCATTCCTCCTTCCAATAATTATATATGCCACAGCTTCCTCCTAAACACTCATTAACAGGCCAAACGAAATATATTTATGATTAAAAGTTAAGAATAATTGTGGAGTATCAGTTCAGAAGGAACTCTTTCAACTTCCAAAAAATTATCACTTTTTCCTTCATCCATTTGCAGTACTTCAGTATTATTAACAGCCACTTTTTTGTTCTACTTATTTCCCAGTTGAATACACACAATACTTTAGTGTAAACCTAATTACTTATTTTTGATTCCTAAAAAAATATGCTTATGAAAATAGCAGCATTTAAATACACACTGCACAAATATGTCGATTAAGTTCAATATCCACCATTATTACACATCATGTCATTATGGTATTGGGACATGATATTGCTCACAGAAAAAAATTAAGATTTGAATAAATTAATTTAAAAACTCACCTAAGTAATGACCGATGCCAAGACCTAATGTTACAGCAATTGCAATCACCATCACAACAGAGAGCCACATATTAATGTAGGCACTTGGATGATGAACATAATTCCTTACTTTTTGAATTTCAGCAAGATGTATTAATGGATCTTCAATAAGAAAACTGTTATGACAGTCCTCTGAGCACTCTTCGCTATAGTTTTCTTCTTCTTCTGAACAAACATTTACATTTTGTTTTGGCAAAGAACCTGCCAGAAAAATTCAAAAATTTGAAGGTATTTTTGGTAATTTTATGGCAATAGAATACCCTTGTGGCAAAAACCAAGTAGGGTCTATACAAAATTCTTACTTTCGAGATCATCTTGACTATTCTGTTCTGATGTCTCCTGTTCAACCTCCAACACTTCTAGAGATTCTGAATCACTTGTTTCCCCAGTTTCTACGTTGGCATTTACTTCTGAATCATCGCTATTTACGATTGTCCAGCTATCACTCAAGTCTACTTCATTGTTTGAGGTATTCTTTGGCTCATCCATTTTGCCCTCTAAAATTGACAATACAAAGAAAGTTGTTCGCAAACCAGACACTGCCATGAATGTGATTTACAAACAAAATCGCCAGATATATTCTTACCTTTAATATTTCGTTTTCCACCTTACAATTAAAATTAAGGAAATAACTTCACGCGTATTTCCGTTTCATAACTGCAAAATTGGGAGAAAAACCCCTGCGTATATGTCGACAGTACTTCCACTTCCACTACGCACGATGACTACACCCATGTTCCGTCATTCAAAACATCATGCTCGGAGCACGAGGAATGTGGTGTTGCTGTTGCGCTGACTAAAGCTGTCAGTTGGTTGGCTGTCAGCTCATGCGGGATGCTTCGTGTGTACTGCGCATGAATAGGACATCTGCTTTCATAAAGCGGTTAATAAAGAGTTAGTTTGTAACCGGATTTTAACACAATAGAAAATGCGAATATTGCATAAAATCCTAATTTTACGAGCGTCTTATTATTTAAAAATGAAACAGTTCAGACATTGGATAAGATTCGAAGGTTATTTTAAGGCGGGACTTTCAAAAAATAGGATTGATAGTAACTTATGGGATGGACTGGGGACAGGGTCCTCCACTAGGGACCGACAGGCGTAGGGAGACGTGGGCTCTTGAGGAGCCCATGAAAAGAAATACAACCTCTCTCCACATTTTCTTATTTATTTAATTGTGATGTTTCGAAATTTGAATCAATCAATATTTGTGACAATTAAACATTTCCTATGAATGAACAGTACGGGGAAGGTAGAAAAGTTTTCTAGGGGCCCGTGAAATCTGTGGGTGGCAATGATGTATTTAATAATCATCAGTGGCGTGTGAATATGGGTAAGGCGCTGTAAGGAAGGTTGGGGACATTTCCGAAGTGATTTGTGCTCTGATTGACCATCTGTAATGACCATGCAATCACTGTAAGGTTCATAGTTTTTTTAAAAATAAAAGTAGGGGGCGCCAAAATTTTTGATTTGAAGGTGTTGCGAAGTGACAAAAGCCACACGTCAAGTAATAGGATATTCTCTTTTTCTTTATATTTGAATTTCAACATTGGTCATGCTCCCAAAATATTGGTTTTGTGATTAGGGCACGCGAAAAACAAAATTGAAAATGTCCAAATATTTCAAATTCTTTCGATCATTTAAAGATACAATAGTAAAACTGACTTACCATTGAAATAAATTTAATTGTCTGGCACTTCTATCATGACGATAATGCTGTGAAACGTAAATAAGAAGTGCTAGAAGGTAAAGTTTATCCAAAACATATGGATATGAAGCGTTTAAGAAACATTCTATTTTCGCTAACAGTTAACTCGAAAGCTATTGGGAATTGAAATAAATGATGCACATACTTCCTATCATTATTTCTAAATTTGCAATTTTAGAAAATTGGTAGTTCAGTGAAAATAAGACCATTTCAAGCTCCCTTGTTTCATCTGTAGAAAAAATTACAAAAAACATTCGAATGGTTTTTGAGAAAAAACAACCTTAAATGTGGGCTAAATTTTCGCGAATACGACTCTAAAAAAATGTCTCTGATCTATTTTAAAGAGCTGCTTTTTTATAATACATTTTGTTCAAGACAAAACCTCTAACTTCAACTTAGTAGTTTTGAAATGTTGAATTTTCGAAAATACGGAGAGTTTCTAAAAATGAGACTGACACCATTTTTTTACCGTCAATTTACATACGAAGAAAAATATGAATATGTTTTTGAGAAAATTATTTAAAAGTTTTAAAATTGCCTTTATTTTACACAAAATTACAAAAAAAACTACGTATATTTTCGAAAAATTGTACATGTTTTTTTTAAAAAAAAACAGATTTCATTAAGGAAAAAATATGTTTTCAATATTGTAGTTGTAGGAAGCCGCCGAAAGAAATGAACCTTTTGCAAATTTCGAAAAAATAAGTGATTCCAACAAAAATGAGACATGCATCATTTTTTTAAACTTCCTTTACGTTATCCAAATACAAAGTTTAATAAAAAATTGGGAGCATTTTTTGCAAAATTTTGAAAATGTTGTTGAGGCTTCATGTAAAGTACCGTCAGAAATCACAATATTTATATCCGTTTTAAACCCAGAGAGCCTCAAGCCGAGGAATAACAATTGTTGAGAGAATCGGTTGAACGGTAAAGGCACTAGCTTTGACCACAGACGGACAGGCAGACGGACTTTTTTTGCCGTTAATCGATTTTACTTGTTTGCACTTCGTAAAAAGAGAAAGAATTATAATCGTGCGCCGGAAAACGGCGTATTTTTGACAGAAAAGCTTTTAATGCCGCACCTGACAACGAAAAAGTGGATAAACTTTGATTCTGGATATAGTAAAACACTTCCTCTAACACCTGGTAATAAAAAGCCGGGAAGGGCTCCACGTGGTCGATGTGACTGTCCGCCACGAGGATGGGTCTAGCCTTCTGAAAGCAGGGGAGGAAAATATGGTAAAATACCAACCAGTCATCTCCCTGGCAGCCCAACTTCATGTAGTATCCAACGCCAGAATCCAGTGGTGGTTGGAACCTCTGGGGCTATGCCAAGATTCACAGTCAGTGCCCTCAAGACTGGGGATCACGACTCGAGGCGATCTACTGACTATCTCGTTAATTGCACTCAGAAGCTCTATTAAACTTAACACACAATTTGTAAATTATGATGGAGCAATTTAGCATTGCTGGTAGTAAAACTTCAATGTCTGTAGGGAAGTCTAGGGAACCCATTGAATTCTAAAATGCCTAGGAATTACTCAGTTACCACGACTTTAAGTGGGAAATGTATGCTATTTAATGTAGGATATAGAAAATTGTGAACTCCGTTCGGTGGGCCCTTGATGTCAAAACGTCCGTCCGACCCTCCCACCGACCGACCGTCCGCCTGGGGCCAACGCTGGAGCCTAAACCGGTCAGCTGATTTTTTTTAAATTGATATTCTCCGATTTAAATGAACTCAGAGCCTTCTGAGTTTGAAAGAAATATTTTGATTTTTGAGGGTACTTTACAGGAAGCTTCAACAGCATTTTCAAAATTGTCTCTAATTTTTTTCTATTAAACTTTATCTAGGATAGCGTAAAGGATGCTTAAGAGGATCGCGCAGGAATAATTTTCGTTAAAATACCTAAATTCTTGAAAATTGCAAAAGTTCAACTTTTTGTGTCATTCTACAGCTAAACTATTGATGATAGAGATTTTTACTTTCTCACACTTACTAACGTAAGAAGAGAAAGTATTGTAATCGTGCACTGGCAAACGGCGAATTTTTGACACAAAAACTTTTAATATCGGGCCCTTACCAGAAAAGGTGGATAAATCCTGTTGCTAAATTTGAAAAAAAAATCCTCTAACATATGGTGTAACCAGAAGTTTTGTGGGTCCTTGATACCGAAAAACTGATTGTCGGCAAAACGTCTGTCTGTCTGTCTGTCCGTCCGTCCGTCCGTCCGTCTGTCTGTCTGTCCGTCTGACTGTTCGTCAATCTGTCTGACTGCCCGTCCGTCTTTGCCCAACGCTAGCGCATAAACCGTTCAGCAGATCTTCTCCAAAATTGATATTCTCCAATCGTTCTAGTTGATGTTGGAGACCCTGGAATTTAAAACAGAAATTTTAATTTGAGAGTACTTTACGTGAAGCCTTTGGGAAATTTTCAAAATTTACAAAATAATGTCTCAAAATGTTTTGATTAAATTTTGTTGTTGAATAGTGCATAGGACGTTTAAGAGAATTTTCGTTAAGATCCTCAATTTTTCGAAAATTGAAAACAAAATTAAAACTTCAAAATTTGGGATAGAAATTTTTGTCTCCGACAAAGCATGGTGTACAAAATTTCCTCTTCAAAACAGGTCATGTACATTAAAAAAACGAGTTATTTGCGTGTTTTGCGATTGAAATTTACAATAAAATTCTCAAAATCCGCTCCAAATTTTTTCTTTAAATTTTATCCTCATATGTAATAGGGACGATAATAAATATAGCGCTAGTCTCATTTACAGGTTTTGGTCATTTTTTTCGAAAAATTGCAAAATAAAAAAAAAATTGAAGATAGAGATGTTTGCTTCAGTTAACCTGAAGTCTGTTGCACAAAATTAGCTCTTTAAGAAAGGTCATGTACAATTTTTCGAAAAAAACGAGTAGAGCGGATAAAGTGGCTTGCGTGGACACCATGGTGTCAGATGTTCGCAGCACCTTTCCCTCTATGAATTCTTGGTCTCGTGATGACTTTTTATTCTTCCTGGCTGAAACAATGAACCACATTCTGGGTCAATGGAAAATTGTCCATTGACACAGGATGTGCTTCATGGTTTCTATTGTTGTATTGCACTTCCTGTAGTATTCGAGGGATGCTAAAAAGAAACCGAACTTTTGCCATAACATCTTTATTACTCATTGTACTACATTTTAAGAACTCCCCCCCTCAAAGAGTCTACTGGTAATACATCACTCCCTAAAGTATCGCAACTACTGGGAATACATAACTTCCAACGTTTCGTCCATTTTTGGAAAGACTTCTGGAACGCGGTTTCTGGGATACCGCGCAGGTCTCTTGCTGCATTGACCTGAATCTCCTCCATGCTTTGAAAACCTTGTGCTTTTAACATACATTTAAGTTCGGGAAAGAGGAAACCTCTGGTGAAACTAGGTCCAGCAAGTACAGAGGATGGGCATAACGAGTAATTTCTTGATAGATAGCGGAAAAAGAGCGACACGTGAGCTTGCACATTGACGAGACGCAACAATCACACCACAATCTTTACCACAATTCAGGCCTCAGTCCTTTAAACGCGCTAGAATTTTCTGGCACATTTACTTGTTTACTATCTAAGTATATTTATGATGGACTGTACTTTTGAAGTAGAGAAAAACAGCATCACTTTAATTTTTGATCGACTCATTCGAGCTTTTTTTTTTTAACGATGAGACCCTTTGCCCACCAACTGTGACGACTGCACCTTCGTTGCCGTACCGTAGCCCTAAACCTACGTTTCATGGCATGTTATGACATCCTTAAAGAAGTTCTCAATGCAATTGGCAGTGACTAGCATTTCCTAGCTGGTTTCAAAATGGATTTGATTCTGATCGTCAGTTGACGAATCGCGGACCGAATTTTGCATTGACACGATGCACCTCAAGTTTGTCACTCAACATTTGATGGCATGACCCTACGCTGATGCTCGCTTCGTCAGGAAGTTTAACGGTGGTTTACACGAATCATAGCTATCACAGTGATCAGAGAGGAATTCACTTGGTATGGTCATCATCAGTTGATGTGGACGGTCGTCCAGGCTTGGAATCGTCACCGACCGACATTCCACTGTATTCGGAACGCTTAAATCAATGTCGGGAGGGACCGGGGGGA